CACAGTAAGAGAAAGACAGAAATAGGAGAAAATAACTCTTTGTAGTTCATGTTTTAGAGAAGGGCTCTTTTTACGTAGCGAAGTGTTGCTGTGCCAAATGGTCTTTTGGTTTTATCCTTTTGACTTTCCTTATATGACAGTTTTGTCAGAGGCAGGGGACTGCACACAATATTTTATACATCAAAAACCACGTGTGGTATATTCATTTAGAGTCTCCCTATTTCAGTTTTCCCTGTTAAAATTAATATGATTATTCATGTCAGAAAGACTTAACTTCAACCTGCAATATTGTAATCTTGAGTACTCTTGTTCAGATTTGGCTTCCGATTGATTTCTGATCTTATTTACACCAGTGGCTTCATTTATTTTAAGTCTTCTGCTTTCGAATTGGAAAAACATTAGAAAGATAAAATTTCTCAGTAGAGAATTAGCCTGATTCTTCCTTCTCTCATTTAATTAAATAATAGGAATATAGGTTGTCTTGAATCATAAAGAATGAAATTCACAACAGTTGTTAACGGATACAGAAATTCTTTAAGGCCCTGCCTTGTAAATATATGGAAGGTGATAATAAAATCTTTCCAATAGAGTTCCTTTTACCCAACATGACAGCCTTGTGTTGGGTATGAGGCCATCTTGTTATAGAAAAACGATTATGAAAGTCTGAAATAGAATTACCATTCATGTGAGTAAAACAGAAATGGCTAGCAATACATTAGACAAGTAATTGTAATTTTTTGATTATTGATTAATTAAAGTTGAGTTTTGTAATCTACATCTCGATCAGAAAAAAAAAAAAATCTAGCGATTTAAGTTGTTGATAATGGTTAATAGTGGATGACAAAGTTTGAGGTGTTATTTTGAATTGTTGTCCAGAGTATAATAACATCAGCTTTTTAAACAAATTGTGTTAATTGACTGTGTTAGATTATATACAAATTTAGGCCAGAAATTTATATTAAGAGTGCTTTGGTAAGTCTTACATGTCAGCAGACCTCTAACATACCCTTTCTCCTTATGAATATGACTCATCTGCTGCCTCAGATGACAAAAGTCAAACTGGCTTCAGATAGTAGCTGGGGAACATATGCAAGGTGTATGTTGAATACAGGAGACCACTTATAAACATAGGCTTTGGCTGTGACCTTATATGCTTCAGATATCCTCATTAACAGACCACTGTTCAGATTGCCATCATGTGGCACAGCAGATGCCAGAGTAGGAGAGAGGCTGTGACTCTGCAGTGTAAATACATGAAATAAAACCATGCTGCAGACCAGTATAAAGCAAAAACCTACTGTTGTTCACCATAAAAAATCTGTGTAAGCATTAAAATTCTGGTTACACTGATACTGAGGATTATGCTATTTACATAATGGAATACAACAATGCATAGGATAACAGTTTATACTTGAGGTAGGGAAATATGAATTATCATGGAAACTTATGTGCTACAGTGTTAGCACTCAAAATATTTTTAGAGAAAATAAATACTTGGAAGAGGAGATCTTAAGACTTGTGTTTAAAATTTAAATCAGCAGAATTAGGTATGTGTTTAGTTCAATCTAAGACATTGTTTTATATTTGGGACCATCTTATCAAAACTAATGTACCACAACTTCATCAAATCTAGATCAGATTTTGTGCTGATAATTATTATGAATGCCAACTTGTAAGAAAGGTCATATAGTAAATATCTTCATAAGAGTTACATGTAAAAAGGTAATCAGTCCCTATTAACCCTTCACATGCCCCACTGGGCATATGGAAATAAAGACAAAGAAAAGTAAGTCCATATGCATTTCTAGGCGGATTAAGATCTTGCTATCATTAGCACTTTCTTGTTCACTTTTGAGCTACTGACCTTCCCATTTGCAAGTGTTGCTTGTTGAAATCACACCCCCTTGAGCCAAATTGGGTGATCTTTTTATACAATAGGGTAATAGGAAATTAATAAATAGGGTAATTCATGGGTATTTGTCTACTTCATTATCAAGAATATATCATACTCCATGCCAATAAAGACTTTAAAATCAAGTTGGACGAAAATAGTTCTAATTTGGTTTAATACAGAATGTAACAGATTACTGAGGTAAAAATGAAATTCTTCGAAATTCTGTCACTCTGTATTAAAGAAGTGGTGAATTAACAGTATCAGTCTTCCATTAGCACTTCAGTCACCTTATTCCAGTCTTACAAAACCTTTTCTTCATATTTCTCTGATAATTTACGTGCAATTCATAATCACCTACAGAAGAACAATATTTGTATTTCAGATACATATATGAAAAACGTATTTAAAACCACTTTTATACATATTCCTTGTGGCTTTTACAGTGTTCATGCAAGAACAGGATTGAATATTTGGATATTTTAAAATCAGGATTTGGTGTTCACTGTATGTTTTTACATTGTTCTATTTAAGCTTGATAATTGAGATGTTCTCCCTGGGTATTTATCTTATTAAAGTAACCTAAAAAATCCATGGATTTGCTCTTTTAGAAAGCTTTGTGAGGCTATTGATGTCTAATAACTCCAAAGATACACATTTTATAATAGTTGAATATATCAAGGGATAGTCAAATATTATTTTCAAGATAAAATACTTAAAGGAGAGTGCAGAGCACAAGAAAAAGATTTAATTGTACTGAATATAATTGTAATTGGGCCACTAGCTGACAGAATTCTGTGCTGGATAGGAGGAGATAAAGATATGACATATGCGCACAAAAATGAAGGCTGGAAGATGAATAGGCCTTCTTGGGAGTTGATCTTTACAGATCAGATAAAGATTCTTCAGGTCTCTTTCTTGCAGGCTGTGCTACATCAAAGGCTGTCTCTGAGAGATAGTAATGTGCACTTGGAACCTGGGGACAAGACCTTTGAAAATGGACAGTTTTTAGATTGACAGGCAGTTAGGCTTTGGGTTTTTTAGTAGTTGGCTTGCTTTTGTGTGTGTGTGTGCAATCATTTGTAATCCTCTTAAAGAAAACCTCATAGGTTGATAGAGTAAATAACACTTGTACCTTATCTATCTTTACTAATAGCTGTTTTGCTTTAAAGGTAAAAATTGTCTTTGAAAGATTTAAGAAAATCTGGTGGAAGGTAACTCTTGACTTCTTTCAAAGTTTGATTAAAAATACTTATTTGTGAGCAGTGGCTATCTTTCAAAGGATAATTGTTCCTTTATTGATGAGCTAAGTATTCTGAAGAAAGCAGTTCTCATCCATTAAAAAAAAGTAAGAAAAAAAAAAAAAAAAGAGGTATAAATACTGTTTTATCTAGGAACATTTATCAAACAAATTATTGTTTAATCATGGTGTTTTCAAGAAACTTAAATTTTACATCAGATACCGTGTCAATGGCACTGGCTAAATCTGACATCAGCTCTTTTGATCTCTTAGAAGCACCGTCTCAGAGCCCTCAGGCATCCTCCGAAACCATAGGAATATGCTTTTGGAACATATTGCTCCAATACAACATTTTGTTAGCTTTTGCAGCCCTCTCTTCCTGGTCATGGTTTCTCAATTTATGTACTACGTCGGAGTAATCTGAGTTTCATTGCCATAATCTGAAAATCCTTGTTCTCCACCAGACTGTATAAAGTAGGATTTTTTAAAATACATTGAAGTAAGCCAGAATGTTTCTGTTACATGTTAATTTTGTTCCTTTTCCTCTTTTTAGTGGTTGTTTTTTTGTCCTCTTTAAAAAGTTGCTGTTAAATAGAGCTTCATTCAAGGCCTGAAAACATTTTACAGATTTCATTTTCACAGTGTGCATGCAGAAGCATGGAATAAGAAATGATTAAAACCTGATATGCAGAAATATTGTTTTTCATGTTTGTTTCAGAATAATTTCTGCTTATTTTCTTGAATCTCAACATTTTAGTATTCGTTAGAAAAACCTGTAGGGAACTGCAGTGGGTCATGCTATTAAAGAAGGTGTTGCCTTATTAGACCCTCATTGTAATGAGAGGAACATGGGAAGTATCAGGTGTCAGCCTGCTGTTGCATTACTCCTTTGTTGTCATTCCTCAGAGACTCTTCCATCAAAACAAGGAAGGCAAGACCTGACATTTGCATACCTCAAAAGAAGCAGGCATGATTTCTTTGAGAGAGATGAAAACTTAGTCTCTCCTTGTGTCACAATAAAGGGCATAGGTAACTTGAGTTTGCTTCATAATCTAGCTGGTTTTGACCCAGGAGTCTTGGGTTCTTACTCTGGCTCCTAATAGAGCACTCTGTGGAAGGGTGAATGTCTCAGTTATTAGAATCCATGTTGCTGAGGCATAAAGGTTCTCCTTGCATAGAAATGAAAAACTTCTGAGAACACTTTAACTTCATTATACATATACTTTTATTATTATTATTTTGTAATTTAATACTCTTCCCTTACCTTTCCTAAAAATATACAATATTACACAGTAGAGAATGATACTGGTCTTATCAGTCAACCCATATATTTTAACCCATATATTTTAAAACACCTACTTCTCAAAAATTAAGTTTTTGGAAGATCTGTGTCCTTGTGATAGCCTGCACATAAATGCTGATAACGAGTCTGCTGCTGGAGATGAGCTGGATAATCAGAGTTCTGTAGTAAACTGGGCTTTGGGAAATGATCATCTGTGGTTTATGCATATGTAACTTATATAGCTGTAGAATCACTGCATTGTTCTGCTGCAATAATAGAATGTGAAAATACAATATTTATCTACATTTTGAGAGATCAAATGAATTATTCTTGTGACCACTCAATTTACAAATTTATTCTAGTCTGGGCTAACAGCTACTATACTGACTACTAATAATTTGTGTAGCATTTATACGAATTGTTGATGAAAAATATGATGACATAATTTTCAAGTAAGTGCAAAAAACCATAAATACATAGAAAATTATATGGAGAAATCATGTATATGAGGAAATAAAAAAGAAAGACTTTGCTATGAGAAGAATCAGTAAAGATTAAATTGTATGTTCTCTCTCTTTGGTTTTCAGCGTCTCGCTAAAGAAGCAGAAAAGTACCAAGCATCACATCAATGGAGGGATGAGTTTGGGGTAAGTTTCAGTTTTTCTCCTTTTGACCTTCTTGGATTTTTCATTTTTGAAATGTTAACTATATTCTTACAAACATGTTTATATATCTACCACAGAAGGAGTCATTGACTATGAATGGGCATTTTATTTTACTCAGTAAACGGAGTCTCAGTCTGGGCGCCTAGAGAATAAAGTGGACTTCTCACTTCAGAAGCTCATAGGGAGCTTTGCAGACTCAGGACTGTTACTCTGAGGTGTACACAAGACATCTGTTTTGACATACAAGGAATAATTACAAAGAAGACATCTGAGTGATGGTTACTGTCAGTTAGAAGTGTTCTACTCCAAGCACTGAAGCACAATCATAGAAAAGATTTTTACAAGTTGTTTTTTGCTTATGTGGTGGAAAAAAAGCAGGAAAAAGCTTTATATGGAAAGATTTGGTTATCTGCATGACTGTCTACATTGGGAGTCGCAGACTTTTTTTTTTTAGAATCTCTTTCCCTAATTTAATAACTGCATCTCTGCTCTTTAATATTTTAGTACCACTGAAAGAGGGCCTAACGTGGACAAAAACAAAGCTACCTTCTTCAATCATTTCATATTTTACTGAAAAACAAGTGAGATGATTGTAAAATGTACAGCATTAATTCTTTATTACCAATTAAGCCAAATTGGTATTGTACTGCATGATTATAAGCCTGTTAATTTTAGGCTACCGTTCCCTTCTAAGTGTCAAAGTCATTTATTATGCCTTCATTACTTGTTCCTTCAGAAATAAAAGCAAATGGTGCTTTTACATTATGCTGCTCCAAACCTAGACTATGTTTGCACATCCACTAGAATCACAGTGGCACATAGTTAAATGTACAATGGTTTTCTATAATGTCCTTTCTGATCCAGTGCTTCTCAGACACTTGGAGATCTGAAAACAAACAGAAAAAAAAAAAAAAAACAACCCTAAGGTCAGGCCAAATAATTCTGATAAGAGTAACTGGATTTTAGGCACGCAAAGAGGCTCTGGACATAACTTGAATGCTTTTAAGCATGCTCTCTGAACAGACACAGCTTCTAATACAGCAAAACACAGAATGTGTATTCCATAGGGATGCAATAATGAAGATGCTACAATGACCTTTTCTGCTAATCTGTCTCTGTTTTGAATAGAAAATAAAACCTGCAGGTTTGATGGACTCAGTGCAGAAAAATTTGAATACAATCAGATGCTCTTTCTAATTATTTTGCTTTTTACTGTACACACTGTGCATCAACAAAACCATCTTGGCTTTTGGTTTTCTTTTTGCCTTTTACTTGCAGCTGAAGTCAGTCATACCAAAGAGGCTTCCGGTCATATTAGAATTCATTGCCAAGAAGAGATCTCAAAGTAATTTTGAAATGTGATTTTGTATTAATGTTGTGGCTCAGGCAAAGACTATGGTCAGAATAAAATTAAAAAAAAAATGCAGTTGGATTTATAATAAAGTAACTGCAAACGGAGCTTGTGCTTTATTGTTTTGAATTTGGATGAGAGCAGTGTGCACCATATAATAACCTTGACATTAGGTTATGCAATTAAATTTCAAATAAATGTATTAAACCTCTTATAATTTAATTTGTTCCATTTTTGCCAGAAGTAATCTTTCTTCTCTTCTGGCCTCCTTTTTAGAAAATGCCTGCTCAAATTAGTTTGCACACAGATCTTTCTGATAAACTTAATTTTCACTGGAAAATTAATTCTCCTAATGACTGTGATGGAAAATAGAAGATATACTGTAAAACTTTCTGTGGATGAGGTTTCTTAAAGTGCTTCTGATAGTATTATGAATGGTCTATGTCGTGCTGTACAAGGGCTATTTCTTGTCCAGGATTTGGTTTTGGGTGATGAAAGCCCTTCCGGCAGCACTGCACATGAGTCACTGTAGAAAGATACTCTTTGGGACAATCCATTTCTACTTCTAATGAGCTCACAATCAGCAATGTCCTTGACAGTCATATTGCAGCTGAATAATAGCCCATGGAGTTTTTAGGGGAAAATATCACAAACATTATTTCTGGGGAAGTATATATAGGCTGACGTCAGTGGAACAAATCCATAAGAGGAAGGGCAAAAAGGGCTGGCCATACCAAGGTGTATACAGAGCTACACGGGATGTATCAATAATTTCATGTAAAGACTTTCAGAATTGTCTGAAGGAGAGAATTTGCTTGCCTTTTAGGAAAAAAGTTGGAACTAAACCCTTGTGTTGTGGCTTGAGCTTGGTGGGCAGACAAACACCATGCAGCCAGTCACTCCCCCTTCTCTTCTGGCAATGAGAAGGGACATATGAGCCAGGCTTGGGATTTGAGATAGGATCGGGAGGGACAGGTCACCCATTATGGTCATGAGCAAAAGGCAGACTCGTTAGGGGAATTAAAAAAAAAACAGAGCATACATTTATTACAGACAGTAACAACACTTAACAGAGTAGGACAGTGAGAAGCATTGCCACATCTTGAGAACACCTTCCCCCCACCCCTCCCTTCTTCCCGGGCTCAGTTCTGCTCCCGATATCTCTACCTCCTCCCCCAGTGGCGCAGGGGCAGGGAATGGGGTGTGCAGTCAGTGCTGTCGCTTCTTCCATCTTTGATGGGGGGAGATTCTGGAACTTGTTCCCCCTGCTCCATCACGGTTCCCCTCTCACAGGAAACAGTCCTCCACAAACTTTCTCTGATGTGAGTCCCTCCCATGGGCTGCAGCATTTCCCTACACTGTTCCAGCGTGGGCCACCAACTTTCTCCAACTGGAGTCCCTCCCATGGGCTGCAGCCCTTCTTGAGCTGCTCTGGCGTGGGACACTCCCACATACTGCAATCCTCCCAGTGCTGAACTACAACAGTGAGGTCTACCTTTTCCCACAAGACAAAAACTACTAAATCTTAGAGAGTATTTGTGAAGTATATGAAGGCAAATCCAAAGCGCTTAGCTTCAGGCAAATAAAGAAATGCCATTCTCTGCTTTTTACTCTATTGATAGTGCCCAATTCCCTAGCTGCATGTACAGCTGGAGAAATAAAACCTACTTACATGTTTTTAGACTAATGTAGTTACAAATCAGAGATACAAACTAGTATTTATAAATGAAACAGCTTTGAGTTTTCTTATGTGGTGTAGAGTGGTTTTGACACTTGTGATTATTTATTTATGTATTTATTTTTCTGGCATGGAGATGCATGAAAAAAAAAAAAAAAGTGTATGATTTGGAAGAAGGAGGGAGGATTCTGTATGAAATAATTGTTGTTATTCCCCAAATGGGTCTTCTACAGTTATGTTTGATACCAGAGTTTATTGCCTTGCAATGGTTGGTTAACTAAAGCAATTCCATTTCCAGTTGGGTTGCAATATTAATTGTACTTACACGTGTATAAACATAAGGGATATCTCATTTGTATTTTAACAAGGGGAGTCTTTATGGATGGCCTATTAGCATCCACTTATTTATATGAAGACTAAAACTCAGGCTTTTAGGAATTAATTATCACAGTAAAATGCAACATGAAAAATCCTTTCAATATGCCTTATCTTTTAACCAATTGTGTAATTTTATGTTCTTCCATGTGAATAATAATTTTCTGAGTCCTGGTGTTTCTAAGACAGCATTTGCTGTGTTGATAATGTGTAGGCTGGTGTTTATGTACCAACTGGGCTTAAAAATAATGATATGGAAATATTACTTTGGAATTTTTTTTTTCTAGTACAAATATTGGCTGCATAAAACTGTATTGAAAAGTTGCTCAGCAAAGAAATAGAAGATAAAAAGAATAACTGAGAGAACACAAATAAAAATTATAAAAAAAGATATTAAAAAAACCCCAAACAAAACAAAATCTGGGCATGACATCATATGGTGTGGAATATACCTTTGGCCAGCTTGGGTCAGCTGTCCTGGCTGTGCCTCCTCCCAGCTTCCTGTGCCTCCCCTGCCTCCAGCCTGCACTGGCAGGGCGTTACGAGAAGCTGAAAAGTTCTTGACTTTGCGTAAGCACTGCTCAACACCAACTAAAACATCAGTGTGTTACCAACATTATTCTCATCCTAAATCCAAAGCACAGCACTATATCAGTTACTAGGAAGAAAATTAATTCTACCCCAGCCGAAACCAGGACACATCACAAGAGTTGATCCAAGAGGTAACCTGCAAGAGCAGAGCAGTATTAGGCATCATTCTGTGCTTGATGTGTCTTGCAAACTGAAGATTTTCAGGACTGTCTGTAATTTATGGTGCATGTTACAATGCTGAAACATTGCATCTTAAAAGCTTCAACTGGAAAACAAACCAACAAAATACCAAAATTTCAGCTTTCATACTACTTCTTTATAAAGAGGCAGCTTAGTAAACATATTTTGTCTTTTCAAAGAGGGGAAAACTCTTTGAAGAAAATAAAGTAGAATACTTTTTCTCTCAGATCATCAGAGAGAGGATACAGCTCTTGTGGCTTGTACCTCTGATAGTCCTTTTGGGTGCAAAGAGCTTCTGTGGGAAATGATACTGCTTAGATTTGGCTCCAGTCCTGGGGTACAGGGAACTGGTCCTCATAGGTGCAGAGTAGGTGTGGGATCCTTTCCCAGTGAAGTCATATATACTTTATAATTTTGTGAAAGTTTTAACTACACTAAACACGGGCAAAGTATCAAAGCTGTCAGTATCTTTGCACAATTCTCTGATCCAAAACTGGTGAAATAAATCTTCCATTGATTTTGATTCATTTTGGATAAGGCCTCACACTTCTAAAGCCTATGTGATTTGGAAAAAACATTTGCCGAATGATTGATTTAAGTTGACAAGCAGATGATCAAGGTTTTAGGGAGGCTAATATTTTATTCTCTGAAGGGTTGTGTGCCACCTTCTTTTCTGTGACATATAGCTTTCATTTGTGTATAATTTAAATTAAATGTGCCATATCTCACTGAAATTAATTAAATCACTTTTTTTCTGTCAGTGATTGTTTGCACTTTGAAATCTTTCTACTTGGGACAGAGCTCTGT